GACTGCCATCACTGGGACTTGTGCTTTATACTAAGGTAATGACCAGCTTTTCCCATACTACTACTACAAGTGGCAAACACCTGCTCGCAAGTACATATACGACACAAAGAGACTCCCCCTTCCTTACTATGAGATCCACGCACTTTCAGCGGACATGTTTGACAGAATGGCGTTTTTTTTCTGCGATTGAACAGGTTAGGATGCAGTGCTGCAGCTCTCCTGTCTAAGTGGTCTCCTGATAAGAGGGAAGCTGAGATTTCTCTCAGTATTTCTCTCCTGGCAAACAGTGAACACAATGAGTCATGACACTATCCAAGGGCTCCAGTGAAGTGTGTGGGTGGACAGCTACAGTGATAGTGACTGTATGAAGAGAGCTTGCTCATCCAGGACTCAGAGAGAGAGGGAGAGAGAGAGGAGAGGAGGCAGGGTGGAAGATGGATTTCCACACATTTATAATAGCTGTCACACCTTACATTCAGCAAGGCAATTTCACATTTGAGAATGGGACAGCGACTTAAATTAAAAATGACATTAATTTCTGCCAGCCTGCACACATTGCATTTTTCATCCCGCTTGAAACACCTCTTGATTAGGCTCTGGGAAGACACAAATGTACCGCACAACAATAGGACTGTCTGATTGGATTCTGTGTACAGTACGTCTTGGGGAAAAATGTATGAAAGGGTGTTGTTTCTGAAATCATGTTTTCCCCCTGAACATTCCTCTATTTGTTTCTTAAGTCTTTTTTTTTTTTTTTTAAATCCTGCACTCTGAAACATTTCTAATTAGGCATGTAAGACAAAAACAGTCCAAATCGAGATGTAGCTATTGTTATAGTTGAAACCAACTCGACAACCAAAACATTTAGCAGTGTAATTTCAGTGGCAGAGATTTCTAAGCCAAAGACTTTATTTTTCAAGATGGTCTGGAGGCTATTGACTTAAATTCTGACCTCTTGAGCTTTATTTGAACCAATTGTACTAAGGAAATAATTTTGTTTATGGTGTTACATAAGGATTTAACTTTTTTCTGGTGATTACATTTTAATGTCTCGCTACTCATTTCAAAACATTTGATAAAGATCGCTATGCCAATTATTTCAGTTAATTAAAACAATCTTCATATTTTAGGCTCATAAAATGGACATCAAATGGAGAGCCAACACAGTACCAGATTGTTTAAATAGTAACATTCTGATAAAACCAAACATTTAAAAAATATTAATATTACCATGAACTACACAGGCCCAGCAATATGCAAGATTACGAACAAAAAATTGGCAGAATTTCAAAACCGACAATTTTATAAATGCATAAACAACAGAGAAGTGTGATTTATAGTCATTATAGTTGAATCGTTTATTTTCTAAATGTCAAAAGAATTTGGTTTTGTGCTCATGGCAGCCAATAATTCACCGCACATAACAATGTGGTCAGAAACCATGTTTATCCTCTTGGCAAGTGAACTTGTATTTAATATTTGTATTACCTTGCATAGTTTTGTTCATGGTTATCAAGGATGAGGGCATGTCAAGAACCGTCTGTGTTGGCATCTGTCTAATCTAGCTGCTTCTACCAAGTAAAAGATGAATTGGTACCAAAAATACAATAATGGGCACAGACTTGGAAATCGACAATAAAAGACACTTGTTCCACCTAAGCCTATTTATGTCATTATTCTATCAACACACTCTTTTCAGTTGAATTGTATTTGGGTGCCTTTTCCACTTGGAAAAATAAAATAAGTTTAATCAATATTTTTTAAATATCCATGAAATGAAGACACCTTAAAATGACAAGAAATTGTAGATGTGCCATCTCAGGCTATGTCATTTATTCATTTATTATCTTTCTACCTCCTGTTTTGGTATTTTTGTCAACCCTGTTACCGACACAATCATTACTATAGTTTAATTAGAACTCATATGCCACTGAATGATACAGGCAAATAATATACCTTTAAAATGTTTGAATTTTACACAGAAAATCTTTAAAAACAGGGTCAAACCTAATCATTTCATCCCTGTTACCCACATGTCAAAACCTGTTACTCTAAAAAGTAACAGGTTGACAGTAACAGGTTTGACGATTTCAAACTAATTTGCTAATTGCTAGCTAATAGTCAAGTTCACATAAGCACATATTGTACACTTTTTTTACTTGCAGATATTGGTTATATTAAATGTAAGAAATAATTGTTTAAATTTACATTTTAAAAATGGTAACAGGATAGACACTGCATGATGCCCCCCCTCCTCAGTCAAACCTCATAAACCATCAAAAATAGAACATTATAGAAGTGAGAGAGAAACATGCTTGTGTTTTAAGTGTAGGAATCCTGGTTGAGAGATGATGTAACCTCCTAGATATTGTCACTTGAATGTACATTATTTTACAAGGGTTTTTTGATGAGGGTAACAGTGCTGATAAGTAAATAAGAGGACACCAATAAAATGATTTATATTTTATAGAAAAAATGCATACTTATGCCAAAAACATTGCTTAACAATGAGAATATATTTAGAACAATATGCAAATGTGATTTTTATATCGTTTTGCCTTCATTTTGCAAATAAAAAGTCCTGCTGAACAAGAAAAATCATAGTGAGGGACAGGCCAAAAACCTTACCCGTACCAGCATAAATGCTATTTAAATTATTTAAAGTAATATTTAATTGACTTTTTTTTAATGTAATATTGATGAAAACATACATAGTATTGTTATGTTTTTAAACTGCACATTTATTTGTTGTTATATTAAATCTATGTTTGATTATTTCTTAGGGACGCAAAGGCACAGATTTCGGACCCTTGCAGGCCCTTACAGAGCATATATATATGACCCACACCAGTGGCACAGCATTACTCTAATGAAGTATTTCTACAATTATTTAATATGCATCTCACTATGTGTGTAGCCTTTAACAAGTCAGAATCAAATTTACAGATGTAAACAAATGTGAGAATGAAAACAAACTTACACAAGAGCTGTTGGGCTCTGTATTCAACTTTGTGCACAAGGGTGACCTTTAAAATGTTTGAATTTTACACAGAAAATCTTTAAAAACAGGGTCAAACCTAATCATTTCATCCCTGTTACCCACATGTCAAAACCTGTTACTCTAAAAAGTAACAGGTTGACAGTAACAGGTTTGACGATTTCAAACTAATTTGCTAATTGCTAGCTAATAGTCAAGTTCACATAAGCACATATTGTACACTTTTTTTACTTGCAGATATTGGTTATATTAAATGTAAGAAATAATTGTTTAAATTTACATTTTAAAAATGGTAACAGGATAGACACTGCATGATGCCCCCCCTCCTCAGTCAAACCTCATAAACCATCAAAAATAGAACATTATAGAAGTGAGAGAGAAACATGCTTGTGTTTTAAGTGTAGGAATCCTGGTTGAGAGATGATGTAACCTCCTAGAAATTGTCACTTGAATGTGCATTATTTTACAAGGGTTTTTTGATGAGGGTAACAGTGCTGATAAGTAAATAAGAGGACACCAATAAAATGATTTATATTTTATAGAAAAAATGCATACTTATGCCAAAAACATTGCTTAACAATGAGAATATATTTAGAACAATATGCAAATGTGATTTTTATATCGTTTTGCCTTCATTTTGCAAATAAAAAGTCCTGCTGAACAAGAAAAATCATAGTGAGGGACAGGCCAAAAACCTTACCCGTACCAGCATAAATGCTATTTAAATTATTTAAAGTAATATTTAATTGACTTTTTTTTATGTAATATTGATGAAAACATACATAGTATTGTTATGTTTTTAAACTGCACATTTATTTGTTGTTATATTAAATCTATGTTTGATTATTTCTTAGGGACGCAAAGGCACAGATTTCGGACCCTTGCAGGCCCTTACAGAGCATATATATATGACCCACACCAGTGGCACAGCATTACTCTAATGAAGTATTTCTACAATTATTTAATATGCATCTCACTATGTGTGTAGCCTTTAACAAGTCAGAATCAAATTTACAGATGTAAACAAATGTGAGAATGAAAACAAACTTACACAAGAGCTGTTGGGCTCTGTATTCAACTTTGTGCATTTTAATCGTTGTGCATGTTCTGGCATACAATCTTTTGCAGGTATATTCATTTCTTTTGAATCACAAATCAATTGCTTGAAAAAAGTTGAAAATAAAAACCATGAGTGAAATGGTTCAAAACTCTTTTATTTTATTTTATTTATTTTTTGTATCTTTTCCAGACAAACACATTGATTTCTGGACCACAGTAGAGGATGGAAACCTTTCACAAACATTTTTTATTATTATTATCATTATTATTTGAAAATACAAATATAAAATTATACTTTCCACATCTGAGATGTGAGAGACCCCCATCCGCTTTAGTTTATTTTACAACAGGGCTTGAGCAAGCCATACAAGAAGACCTGAAAGATGCTTTCAGACATCAGTCCGTTCAGTCAGTTCTCGCGGTAAAAAGTCCGTTAACATTAAAAAATGGGCAAGTGTTAGGAATGGGCAAGGCAATCAGCGAGGCCGAGGCCTCAGGAGAAAATGCGAGACGAGTGTCAAAAAGAAGACCCTCCACCTAAAAACACCATATTGACCGTACCGTCTCCATTGAGCTACACGTCCTCGTCAGGTTTACACGACACATTCTGCAGCTAAACTACTACCGGGCCTCCTGTACATCTGCTGCAGCTCCTACACGACACATGATTCAACAGCCAATGAAATGAACAGTGTGGACTAGCATCAGTTCACCTACGATGATGAGTCATGAGGCAGTTTCAACAATTTAACAAAGAGATATATACACTATACATATATATATCAAGTATACTGTACATTAGACATTACAGTGTAGAACGTTTTGCTGCTTTATTAGTGGGATGATCGTTTTGGCCATTGCCTAGCACTTGCCGCAAAATTCAAGTTTAAATGGATACGGTAGTTCACTCCCAAAATCACTCAACACCTTCCAGGTCATTTTCTTTTTTTTTTGTTAAACCAACAATTTTCCAATGATTTAACTAGTCTAGCAAGATGTGTAACATTCATCCGCTGTAAACTGCTGTCCATGGAAAACAAAATGATGGGAACAGAGCCATGCTACCTTAAAGTCCAAGCTACAAGATCAAATTAGGGGAAAAACTGGGTAAGTTAACGGATACGAATGGAAAAGACTGTTTAAAAGAGTTGCCAGCCTTCATTTTAATCAAGAGTCACAGCAGAAGTGAAATGTGCTTCATCTACTGTTAAACATTTGCCTTAATCGCGGACCATCTAAATGTGTACCAAAGCCTAAATGGATGCTGGATACTCATCTTGTTAAGAAAGAGACGTCCAACTAAGAACAACTAACCGCCTAGCGTTGCATTTTATAAAGATGTCTTCAGGAAGAAAATGCCGTGCACGTTTCATCCCGACAGCACCTTAAAATTTCGCTCAAATGTATTGAATAAACTTGAGTTAGACACCTTTCATTAAAAGTTGTGCTGATCGTAACTGATTAGTAGAATAAAAATCTCCCTTGCGAAGGTGGCTCATGTTTGATATCCCTGAGAACAGATGTGATTCAGGAATACAGATTCAGAGTGACACTGGATTTACAGTAAAGTCAAGCTAATTAGTGTGACGTGCTGTCTGGTGTCGAATGTAGATGCTGAATTAAAATGAAAAGCTGGCAATGCAATTAAAAAGTACAAAAACAATCATATTCTATGTCCCAGGTGACTCAAAACTGAAGTATGTATTAATCTAGGCATAAAAATAAATCCAAAAAAAGGAGTATTTAAAAAAAATTAATAAATAAAAAATAGCGCCGTAGGCCACTGGGATATCAAAAACCTATGACAGTTTTATCCATATCTATAATGATTAGCCTATATCATCAGTACTTTGTTAGAACTTACTAAAAAAATATTTATGAATTTTTCATTCATGTAATAAAATCACCCTTTTCATAATTATAGCTTGCGTCCCTTTTAAAAACGAACGAAAGTAAAAACGGTTTTGCATATCTAGCGTTAGCATTTAAGGTAGTATGGCACACCCCTTTTAAAACATTCAAGGGTGGGGATCCAATTAATGCCTTGATTACAATTCTGTCGTACAGCAATTTCTTTCTCCTAGATTTCATCAGTGAGAGCTTTGGTTAGTTGAAACCATGTGAGACCAGCAAAACAGTGGAACAAAAAGGAGAAAAAAGAAGAAAGAAAAATTTCTAAGGAAATAACGCTCAGCATTTTTTGTCTTTTTGTCTTTAAATGATTATAAAGAGAAAGTTCTATCCTTACTGGTCCTACGATTGCTAATGAATACCTCTACATCTTAACATTAAGTACATAACACCTACGACTACTCACTAAAGAGAGAGTGAGATATAGAGAAAGGGCAAAACGACAAAAGGAGAATGAGAGGGGGGAAATGTGAAAAATACCAACCAAGAAGTGTATAGACCACTACACTGGCATCAAGACAGCACTCTTTTACAAGGTAAAGTCATATTCCTGTATTTTTTTTTTTTTTCTTTAACACACTACTAAAATACAATGATCAACATAAGATTACTGAATGAGGTGACAGGGAATGAAGAGAAACAATTGATAAATACAGTACATAATATCTGTATTATTGTCAGTTATATTTAGTATAATCATTAACATCCACAAAAATATTGATAAAAATCCATCCCTATTTAAATTCAAAACATGTTCGGGATAATTTTCTTTCTTTCTTTTTTTTATACGTTTGTCTTTTTTAAAACAGCTCAAACAGTTAGCACAAAGTTCTTTTCGTCTTTTTTTTCCCATTACTTTTATCACATCTCCTTCTTGAGAAAGAATCCAGCATTCTGCCTCATCTGTTAGTTTAGTGAAATGAACAAAAAAAAACAAACAAAAAATTAAATAAACGAAAATAAAATGTTTTCAACAAGATCGAATAACAGCATACATCAGTCAGTTCATATTGTAAATATCATTCATATTTCTAAATGCCATTTGTGTCTCATCAAATCCAGTCCCCACATGTACAACAAATGTGTGTAGCAGCTACTGGTTTCAATCAGCTTCAGTGTTTCTGAGGAAATTAACTATTGCTACCAATAAACTCATCTGTCATCTCTGATATTCTAGAATAAAATCCCTGGAAAGAGATTATTTAAAAGTACAGTCTTCGAATCAATGCAATCCAAGACTGGAGATTTGTAAATGTTATCCCGTGTGGAAAGAAACAAACGGCTTCCACAGCGGTCCTTCACATGACCCACGTTAGAGACTGTCAGTTCACATGTGCAAATAGAAAATGATAAATTCTCTCTCACAGTGCAATGATTTACTTAATTTCAAAACAACACTTTAATATCTTTTTCAATATCTGTCTCAGGCTAAAATAAATTAATTTGTAATCTCCTTTAAAGTAATTCTCACAGGACTGAGGTAATGGTAGAAAATATCGTTTTTTTCCTAATTGTAGAGCAATTTCAAAACATTCTGAACTATTGCCTTTGTTATTCGAATCGTTCGGATCGTGTAAAAATCTCGACACGCGCTGGGAAAAAGAAGCTCACACCAGAACGCCAAAGGAACCGCTTACATGAAATGTCTCGACACGGTTTGAAATCATAGTTCATGTGTGCTTTGGATTTTGTCGTGATTTTTTTTCTTTTGTTACAATGCTGATTTCTGTATACCTTGTAAAGTATATTGTCTTTGTAAGCTGTGCACATCTTAACGTACTATCTAATCCATATGCTGGTATGACACCTGCACAGTTGTAAAGCCGACGGTATTTACAAAGCGAGCTAACAGTGTTCGATTGAGTTTCGTCCGTACTGGGGTAAATCACGGCCTTTGTGCTACAGATGGACCTCGGTTACTGCATTGAGCCTCGAAGATATTTTTGCACTGACATATTTCGGTTTGCGCACGATACAACCTCGGTGACACCATCACAAAAATATGGTTCTCTCTCAGAAACAGTTTGACGCAGTGAACAGAATAATATATACAGTCTCAGAATTCTTTTCTTTTTAAATCTCATTTCACAAAGTATTAAAAGGAAAGCTTTTTCTTTTCTTTCTTTTTTTTTTTCATCGACAACAAAAATGACATTTATAAAAAAGGACTGTGAAAATATTGTAGTCCTCTTATTGCCCAAAATAGGTAATCATGGTTAACAAGACATCACAATAAACATAGAACAGAGCTACTAAGATTTTTTTTTTTGAGTTACCCACTCATTGCGGTTTAGGCTTGAATTAAAAATGTCACCATTTCAAGCCGAGTCATTTCAATCCGTTTTCTTGCTTGTATGAAACGTGATAGACGAGGGCTGTGAAACAAAACTGCTATGGGAATATTACTACCAAAACAAAACATGACATTTTATGTTTTCGCGCTTTACGCCCTCATCAGAGAACATTCAAGAACAATGAAGAACATCTAGAAACTCAAACAAACGTTGCTTGATTCAACGTGTACACAATAAAAGATGACTAAAATGCTTCTAAAAGGAAAAACAGTAAAGGAAAAAATCAAATAAAATTCAAGGTCAGAGCTACACTAGGATAAAATATTCAAAAGCCAGGTTTTCAGTATAGTACAGCAGATTGTTTAGTTGTTTTTTTTGTTTTTTTCTTCTTTCTGAGATGATTCAGACGTTTCGGTTTGTTCTTCGTGTGGCGCCATCTCAGCTTTAGATTCCCGTTCAGCGCTGTAGTGCTTGAAGTTTAATGGCCTTTACCTGTACACAGAACCAGTTAGAAACTCCGGCCAGTCTTCCCCGGGCCTCCTGATAAACTCTGCTGAAACAAACAGAGAAGTTGCTCAAAATTCACACATAATTTCAGGAAAATGGTGTCTGTGTGTGTGTGTAAAGTGTACTGCATCTGAGCCTTGCTGGGGACAAGTCTGAACACATTTGACTACCAAAAACATATTTTTCATTATCTTCCAATGAGAGGAAAAAAATCATCCTAAAATGATAGATTTGTATACAAATACACTACTGTTCGAAAGTATGGGGTCAGTTAGACTTTATGCAGTAATGTAATCAAAGTGACAGTACAGACATTTATAACTTTACAAAATATTTCTTTTTCAATTAAATGCTGATTTTTGAACTTTCTATTCATTAAATAATCCTGAACAAATGCATCACAGTTTTCTTATTAAACAGCACAACTGTTGTTAACATTGATAATAATACAACTGTAACACTCAAATGTAATAGGTCATAAATTAATGCACAATACACTTATTGTGCCTATATTTTAACACCTGAATGAACTGTATCAAACATTAAATCATATTGAAAGGATTGTGACCTTTGCCAGACTTTTAAAAATTGCATGACTGAAACATTGCAATATATAAATATACAAGCTACAGTGTGGAAGCAAATTAAGCAAGAAAGTTGTAATAAATTTAAAAGCGTACAAAAAAAAAAAAAAGGAATTTATAGTTTTAGGGTCATAATTATATTTACAATAAACCAAATCATACAATCCTTTAAAAGTTACACTGTTGGCCTTTTTTTACTACTACTACTAAAAATAATAATTAAAATACTTTATAAAACTTAACATACAAAAAAAAACAGACAAACAGTAGACTGACAATTACATGAACTAGAATCATTCACATAATTACATTTTAAATTTTCTGTTACATCACATACTGTATCACCACATGTAATTGTCTCCCCTTTCTGCTTCTAATCCCTATTAGCAGTGTTTACTGGAATGTTTCTAAAGCAGGTAAATACAATATTTGTAATCACTTTGAAATACTATCACTCAATGTTAATGTACATTTTTGATTATGGCAACATATAGACATTACCACAGTGATATTTAACATGTCTGTAATATATCTGCAGAAAGAATCGAGATTTGGGGGTTAAGCATGGTTTTTAGAAAGTCATTTGTTAATGCTTTAACAATTTTAAATTTCCTTTTAATGGTTGAAGGGCGAGTAGAATAATGCCACCTTAATGTACCCAGTTTAAAAAAAAATCTTATCTTGTTCACAAGCTAATTGTTTACAGTTTAACAGAAGTTACTCCCATAATTTTCGCAAGTGTCAAGGTGCGTAAGAAAATGGTGGATACATTTATAGAAAGAAATCTTTTATAAAAAAGCTTTTCAGTTTGTGAGGATGCTACAGAGGCTAACAGAAACGCCAGTCATGTCAGACAGCTGAAGAAAAAAGTCTTTCTTCCTCTAGAACACTGTCAATCACTAGTGAGATGTTCTGAGGGTTTGAGGCCAACCTAAATTTGACTCTATTTAGGTTAGAAAAACTCCATCTGAAAGTCAAGCACAAGGTGACATTGTTATTCTGAAAATCCCGTTTAGATTTAATGAGTGCCCGGTCTGTTTTGCAAACTGTACTTAAGGGCAGAAGAGAGAGAGAGAAAAAAAGTAATTTGCTTTTCCTCACAAACAAGAGATTGGAGGGGCATTGAAAGCAGAATGAATCAGAGGTGTGTGCAGATGGGCAATAAACAGTGTCCTCACATACAAAGGCTCTTATTCATTTTTCCAGCAGATCTGGACGGCGGTTCAAAAAACGTCCGGAGCCGGTAATTCCCTCGGCAGCTTGTGATTTAGTGCGGCCTCCCTCATCAACCCCCCTGCGAGTCAGCCCTGCTCCTTTTCTCTTCCGCCTGACTCCTGCTCCATCTCTCTGCTCCATTAAAGGTTAAAAACGAATGCACGGAAGGAATAAATGAATGCCTATGGCTTCAAAGGGCAAGACAACATATTCTTATGACAGGGTTTCTCACAAGAGTTGATTATCGCCTTATTGATTTACATATGCACTTTGTGTGGGGGACCTTTCAAAGGCTGCCTCTGGTATGCCCATCATCTGCTCGAAAAATAAAAAAGCCATTGTGTGCGGGAAACAAAATACCGGGTTGAAAATGAGAGAAGAACTAATTGTGAGATTTCTGTCCTCCGGGCTGGCACATGAACAAAAGCACACTGACACATCACACTGCTGCTGACAGCCGGTACAAGTTCACAGTTTGTTATCCTGAAGTTGACAGAGAGAGAGAGGAATGCTGGTGGGAATGCAGAAATGTTAGCAATGCTAAAACCAACGCTATCTAACTTGAGCTATTTGCCAGGGCACCTGCTTTGCACTAATGAGACTGTGATTTCACATTTTTCAGCCTTCAAAAGAGAAGTTTTTATAGCCTTAATCCTGATTATTAGTATGGGTAAAACATGCACATCTATCACACATTTGGACCCATTGCAACCTAATGCATCTGAGATGATTTATTTAGTACTTTTTCACATGTATTTGCTTCTTTTGATTTCACATATCACACATTCTTTTAGTCCTATTAGTTGTGTTAGAATTATTTATTCCTTCAACACAAATTAATTTTAAAATATATTAGCTAATTCATTTATTAGCTAGACAATGATGTGGAGGGAATTCATTAAAAAGATGCACCACTTTTGTGCAAGGTATTTCAGTGTAAAAAAGTGTATTTAAAATGATCATTCTTTTTGTACAAGCATGCCTCATTTCTGGGCAAATTGCAACAGGATTCTATTTAAATAGAATTTTATTTTGTATGATGCATGAATTAAGTTAGGTATACAGTAAAAAAGTTATGAATAAAGATTATTAGAGTATGTTTTACAAGAAAATACTAGTCAGTGTTTTTTGCTGTTTCTTTGTAATTATTTGTAAAATCTACTAAACATTTCTGAGTGAAAAATGCTTCAAAGATATTTTTTCGGCTGCATTTGGGACTGCAAAATTGTGAACTGTGCCATGCAAATTGTATTCAGCTCATTTTGTGGGCATATTTGCACTATTACACAATTACGTGAACTGAGGGCTAAAACAAATCTGACATCAAGTGCAAATACGCTATAATACTGATTATAAATATGCTACAATATAAAAATGCTAAAATGTTATTTTTAGTGAATTCCCTCTTGATGTTTAAACATATTCAACTAGTTTAAATGTCAACACAATTCAGTCGACTAGGAATTTGATCAACCTGCTGAGCCAATTGCTTGCTTTCCAAAGGAACTTTCAATCTGGACTTTTTCCAGTCAAACTATGGCAAAGAATATTCACTCAATAAAAACTACAATAGCAGCTACATGAGTCTAAAAGCGCTAACTCGGGCAAGGTGGTGAATGAATTAGGTGGCACAGAACAGAGAAACAGTGATGGAGGTGAACAGGGTACTTACAGCAATGCTGTGTCCGAAGCCAGAGCCGGGCTGGGGACTAGCAGCGCTAATGTAGTTGCCCACACCGGAGTCCTGGCTGGTGGGGCCATACAGGTCAGCCACTGGCCCGGGACTGCTGGCTCCAGGAAAGGCTCCAGGCCGGGGTGGGTTGGTGCCTGCCGGAGAAGCGGCCATGCCAACAGTGATGTGAGCAAGGTTGCTAGTCAGGACTGCTGGTGTGTAATACGACTAACAAGCTTAGCACAAGCATGCACTATAAGCACAAAACATCATATTTTGAAAGGATGTTGTGTGTGTATGTTTATACTGCCTGAGGTTTTTCAGGAATAGAGGCCAAATGTCTTCTTTACGGTTCATCCAAAAGGAATGAAATGAAAAATAAAGAAGCTGGTCATCAATTCTTGCAGATAAACACACACACACACACACACTGCATAACACAAACTAGTCAGCTATACTTCAAACTAGCGACAACTGCAGCAATACATCTCATCATTCATGCAGATGAAAGTACGCTTATGTGTGTCAGACGCATCTTGCCAGCATTCACCTGGCATGCATGCTACTCAGGTAGGTTTTAGGTGAGCTGGACTGCTGTGTGATGGAGTGATGTTTAAAAGTGTGAGTCAGAATGAATTGCTTCCTTGCAGGTTCCTTTCACTATCATAACCTCCCCCTCTCTCCGCTCTCATACACTCCCTTTCCCCCAATCTCATATCAAGTACTCTACACCCATCCTCCTTCAAATTTGACTGCCGGTTCTTCAGTCCCTTTCTGAAAATTGCACGGGGGATTTTGCCACAACACACCCTATCTAATCAACACCTGTCATTGAGAAAGTGGTCTCTCCTCCTCCTCAATTTTTATTTTTATTTTTTAAATATATACGGTGGTGATTATCTGGCAGTTAGCGTCAGGGGGCTATCAGGCCTAGCAGCTGCCTGGAAACCAGGAAATTGCTGAGGGTGTCTTGGGTAAAACGCATTGAAGACTGAATCATGGAGTTTCCTCTCCACTGCGAGCGTGACTCCACTTTTGCTGAAGCTACATTTGAGTCTGAAAGCAGAAACTGTTGAAGATGAAGCCTGGAAGACGAAATGAAACCCTCACCAAGCACAAATTGCAAGTAAAACTTGACTTTGGTGAATAAATAAAATGTTGCTGGGTCATTTTGCTTAGAGATTCAACATAAAATATATTTTAAGTCAAATTGTAAAAATTATAGTTTAGCCCTCGCTGATGTAAGTGACATGGGCAATTCTAATCAAAGATGTTGCCATGTACACGTTTTATTCAAATAACTTGTGGAATCGGAAGTTTATCAAAGTTTTAATAAAGTTGTCTCTAGAACTAACATTCAAACACACAAAACAAACATATGAGAAATGATGTGTTGGCATGTTTTTATGACAGATGCCGTTTCACCAACAGACACAATCAAACTAATTTCAAAGGACAAACAGCTATTGGCCGTTTATGATATCCAACTGTCAAAAGTTTGAAAAACATTTTAATAATTAAAAAAAAAAGCAAAATAGAGTTTCATGGTTAGAAATATTTAAGTTAGGTAAGATTTCTCAATTGACAAAAAAACCTGTTCTAAATAAAAAAACAAACTAGACATTTTGTAACTAACTGAAACAAGTTTAAGCACTAAGATTACTAACTAGAAATAAATAAAAACTAAACCTAAACTAAAACTAAAGCTGAAATAATAATATTAATAGTAATATTTAAAAAAGCATACATATTATAGCACATAAATAATACTAAAATAACACTGATTTTCAGATGTGAGGATTCTGGCTGCAAAGTTTGTTTCCCGAAGTCAGAAACACACAGCAGAAATACTGACAAATGTGCAAAAGGAGCAAGGAGGGGCTGGGGGGTTTTGGAGGGAAAATTACAATTAGACTAATTATATCAGACCACTTGAGCCATGGCTGCTGTCATTTGCACATGACCCCTCCATTTCATTGCTGTTGAGAGGCGAATTAAGTAAAATAAAAACAAATGCATGAATTCAATTAAATGAATGCTCTCAGAAACTTTGAGGCCCCTTGCTGTGCCATGCTCAATTTTTCTCCTACGCGCGGCCCTCTATGACACTTCCATTAATAAGCGAATATTAAATCAAGTTCCTCCACAGGCCTTCAGATCAGTTTCCATTGAAGGGGGAGTCTATTACTGCAGCAGCCTCCAAAAAACTCAGGAGGGTAAAAGATATCTGTGTGAATGGAATATTAGCATGGAGGGCTCATGTAAGACAGCAAATACGTTAGATAGGGGGCAATATGCCGCCGTGGGTGAAATTGAACGAGGCAGACTCACACAATCCGTCTGCTTTTCACACAAATGAGAACACAGACAACAGGAGAGGTGAGCGGCTCTACAGTCAGAGCTCTCACTTCTAAATGGCAGTGTATCAAAATAGCGTTAGCTACTTCTAGGGATGATGGGAAAGCATGTATATCCACAGCTAGATCTGTGAGGAAGGGAAAATGGATGTTGCTAGTGTACCCCCTGTTTGCAGCTAGCCCACTATGATGCAAAATATGATGCATAATTAGCAAGGGATAACAAATTGACATAATTACAGTCCTGGAAAGTAATGGGTAAATAATTTAGTAATTAGTATTTTTGTCTTGTTTTTAAGTTTAAAAAAAGAGAGAGAAAAAGGAAAAATACCAAAACATCTTTAAAAAAAAGATTTTACTTTAGAAGCAAACCTAAAAAATAGAAAAATAAACATTTAAAAATAAATAATAAATAAGATTATTTTAATAATATAATCATATATAATAGTATATCCTGAATTACACTTTCTTTTCAATAAAATTCTGATTCATATTTTAATCATATTAATAATAATAAAAAACAATAATAATAACATGACCAAAAAAGAAAACACTTAATTCAAGATATTGTTTTTGAACAACAGCAACAATATTTCTTTTTCTTTACATTTACAATTTTGCTTTTCAGGTAAATTAATTTCAAGTTCAAGTTCATGTTTATTATAAAGCACATTTAAAAACAACAAGTGTTGTACCAAAATGCAAAATGTAAACATTAAGCAATATAAAAAGCAAAAAACCTAGCTCATAAAATAAAGATAGAACATAAAGATAAACCATAAACAACTAAGAAACCCCTATATTCTCAAGCAACATCATAGGCTAAAGAGAATAAATGAGTATAATATATCCATCTTAGTTTTGTTGTTGTTGTTTACTGGAAAACAAAAAACTAAGCAATACAAAACTAAAACAAAAATACTGATTAAAATAATTTTGGTGGTCAATATTTCAGGAATTGAGCAAGCACAGTATAAAGCCTCAGGGCATCTGCAGGGTGTCAGACAAACAATGACATACTTCCTAAGTTCTCCTAAGTGTTAACTTCCATCTTGAAATCGTTCTTGGACTGATCTGGATCAAAGCTTACACAGTCAAATCAGCCTTTCCCTTGTCACGAATAAAGGCTTCTAAAATAAGAGGGGGAAACCAGCACACTGTAAGTGACAGGCCTGGTTAGCATCACATCCAGAGCTATGATTGGTTTCAGTATTCCCAATAGACCAGCGCTAATAAGACATGTTGATTCGCTGAAGCCATCAATGGGGATGTGCTCATCAACAGATTAGGAAATTGCTTTTGTAGCTCAATACTGCTGTGAAATGAATTCATACACACTACCAACTATGATGGATTTATTAAAAAAAACTCCTATTATGTGCCTAAGATCATGCAATAATTTAAAATTACATTTACAGAAAAAAAGGAAAGTGCTGCCAAAAGGACACATCTTGGAGGTCAAGTACAGTATATTGCTCACATGGTTGAAAGAAATGTAGAGAACATTATAATCGGCAACCGCCAATACCATCAACATTCCTTGGCATTCCCTAACCAGAAACAGTCTGGTTGCTGGCGTGGATGCCTAATCCACACATGCCTTAATGTCTGCAAGACAGTTTATTAGCCATTATCATGGCTCTTGACGGCACTATTTTTCCTTTTTTTCGCCAAGATGTGTCTTGTTTATTGTCAAGATCTCAAAACTGCCTTCCTTTGAACTACAGGCTACTGAATATAAAGTGGAGCACTACTGTTTTAAGAAGGCCGAACATCAGTTCAGTGGTACACTACCATGAAGCATTAAAAAATATGCCAAGTGTTTGGAAATAGCAAAATTCTTCCCTTTAAATGTGCTGTCAAAACAAGACGTCTTTTCATCCATGCTACACACTCTTGCTATTTTCACTATTTTATCATTCTATATCCAGTGACCACAAAAAGTATTTGAACACTTAAGCCACATTTAAAATGCCTGAACTTATTTGCATTAGATAACAAAACAGCAAACCAAGAGGATTTTTTTTCTTGCTTCATCTGAGATTTCTATGGAACTGTTCCACTAACATTTGACAACCAGAAAGTACCCAAATACTTGAAGTCTCTTCAAGTTTAATCAAGTGTTTTATCATTTAAAACCTCACAAACTTATTTTTATGAAATATTTTGCTTGTAAAGTGTGCTTGTTCTATCCGTCTTTAGAATAAATGCCACTTGGGTTTGTCATTTTGCGTGTACTGCAATGACATTCATTTATTTTAAAAGGATAGTTCACCCACATATGAACATTCTGTCATCATTTACTCACGCTCATGTTGTTCCAAACCTGAAACCTGTATGACATTTTTTCCTCCCATCAGAACACAAAACAGGAAACATTTCTCAATATCTTCTTTTGTTCCACAGGAGAACCTATGTCACACAGGTTTGGAATGACACAAGGGTGACTAAATGATGACAGAATTTTCATTTTTGGGTGAACTATCCGTTTAAGTGTCTAAATACATTTTGGAGCCACTGTATGTGTGAACAAACAGAATGCATACAGAACAAAAAGAAAAGGGATGCATTAACAATACATCTAAATATGTGATACTTTGTCCAAATGCGGCAACTAACCGATACAATCAACTTCCAACAAATGGCTTGTCATTTTATACTCATGTACATGACGTTGGATGTTTGGATATCATTTATCACATGCCAGCAGGCTGACAGTTGAGCGGTATGGAGCCGATGGGTGTGTAATACATATATACGTGTCTGGGTATGCACTGCAGGAGATATGAACTGGCAAGCATGAACGCATACGTCACATCTCCCGGTTAATTGCACAGGGATTGTGAGCGCAGCCAAATCGCATATATCTCGACAGTACATACACATTAGCGGCCACGTATATACACTCCCTCAAATCCACAGGCGAAATGACAATGCTACCACAATTCAACATGCAGCAAACTGCAAGGATGCACAAATCCCTCGCTTTCCCTTCTCATCTGTCCCCTCTCTCTCTTTCTCTCTTGTTTTAATGAATGGCAGGGTGATGAATAAACTGCATGAATCAAATCAATCATTGAATGAAGGAGAGGCGGGTACACACCTGGGCTCTTATACTGATCCGGGCTGGCCAGGTGCTGGAGAGGGGAGTTGCAGGCTGATGTGGCATGCTCGCTTTGCAGCAGCTGAGCCGCCTGGGGGCCCAGGGAGCCATAGTCCGCAAAGGAGAAGGGGGGCCCCCGTTGGTCGCTTGGCGAGGAATAGAAACCGTAATCGGGGAAGCCTGGGAGATACAGTACAGGGGAGGAGGAGGAAGGGAGGAGGAGGAGGAGGGATGGGACTCCATCATTGGGGGAAATAGGACTTTGCATAGTAATGTTATGAGGCAATGCTTAATATCTGACTTGCATGGTTGTACAATGCAGCGTGCACTGGGAAGATAGATGGTGAGTTTGTAAAGCCACATCTTGCTGTTTCCCCTCAGTGTGACTGTGTGTGTGAATGTTACAGTGAGTGTGTGAAGACCACCACTTTACACTATAATGCTATAAATACTTGGGTTTGCTGCAGATGGAGATACTGACATGCTACAGATCAAATAAGCAAACAGAAGTCATGGTTTTAAAAAAACCTTTTGATGATTACATAAAAACTGACTGACCTTAATAGATGTTCTGAGAAAGGAACGCTCATCATTTGAAATGCTAATTTGGATTCAGCATTCACAAATACATCAAGCAGTAAAATAACTAGAATACTACTGTCTGGTATTCTTGTTATTTGGTTAACATTTTTAACCAAACTACAAAGCATGTTTTGAATCATGTCATCCTCTTTATGAGAGTTATAAAATGTGGTTAATTTTTCTTTAATGTGTCAAAATATTTACAAATATAAGAATATTTAATTGTGTGTGTGAGTACGTGTGTGTTTGTGTCAGTTTGTTGACCAAACTATTATGAATACAAGTATACTTTTAAATATTACATACAGTGGCCTTTTGAATAGTAAGGTCACATTAAAGAAATGTATGAATGTCATTGCAATAGATATCAAAATGTCTATTTATTTTAAAATAAAAGGAAATTAAATACTTCTCAAAAATATTTGATGCTACTTTGTTTGATATGTCATACATAATGCAATAATATTCAGACATTTAAAAGTGTGACTTCAGCATCTAAATATTTTTGGGGCCACTGTACACAAACAAATATATAAATAAAATTATATGCTAATTCTCAAAATGTTGCTTGCAAACATGTGATGAAAAACAACTATTACATAACCAAACTCAAGTCTGTCACTCTCTGTGTGAAAAGCAGACAAATATGAGATGATGTAACCTTGTAGCTTAGAAGAAGACCTGAAAATTATCCATAGTTGATGGGGTGTAATTAAGCTGACCCCGTCCTGCACTGCCTGCTGTTGTTACAGACGTAGAACTGTGAACTTGAGGGAAGGTGTTAAAGAGAGGGATGGAAAGAACTCACAGAACACCAGTGTACCTGCGCTAACTGTTTATAAATAGTCAATATAGTCCCTTTGCTAGAGTTTTATCTCAGTCAAACTATCAGCCCAGAGAACATCTCATTAGAGCAGCCTTGGTGAGGAACTACATTCGATTCTTCTTCCTTTTCCTCTGCTTTAATTAGTTTCAGAGATCTCAGATATACACAGCAGAACAAATGAGGTCTATGCCAGCCTACATTTAAGAAGAGTTGAGGGAGTGATAAAGAAATATAAAGAAAAGAAAAGAGAAAGGAAAGTTGATTCTCTCACAGGCTGTAGCTGCGCTGCTCTGACCTTCTCCAATCACTCATTAATTATCCACCGCTAGTCTGCTGACTGCTCACCTCAGCCCAAACCTTGAGTCTGCTCTAATGGAAAAACAACAATGGCTGCATTTTTGGTCACCAAACACATCTATTAAAGACCCAGAGACGTGTTGCTATTGCTTATGCCCTACATGACCTAAAGTATGTGGACACTAGTGTGAATCTCAAACAAAAATATTTGTAAACAAAGGGTTTTTTAAGTCACACTGTAAATATACTCTTTTACAACAACTCACGTAATCAAATTAAGTCTTTTAAGTCTTCACAAGGACCATTTTCATGTTGATTTTAAATTAATACATAAAATGTTTGAATATTTTGTTTAATTAGGAACTGGTCAAATAAAATGGTGTTTTCACGGCTTAAACTGACTAAATTAATGAATATGACATAAATATTACAAACTGAAATCTCCCATAAAAAGTAGAATGAGGTGACCCAAAGCAACGTCCATAAGAATGTAGATGTGTAGTTTTTGAAATGTTCAACAAGCATATACAGGTGTGGTGTTTGCCGTCGACACATTTTTGGCTATGCATTATACCTTTCTCAGGCGCCTTTCCAAGAAAAAGCTAAATAAAATGTTGCAAATTCCTGTTTTTGCATTCTGTTTCAGAAAGTGCCAAAACACACTAGAGAAATTCATAGGCACAAGCACTGGAAAGATGCTTACGAACAGTAAACAGAAACGAGCATGAAAATCCTCGTCCTGCCAGTACCTACACTCCCAAACGCGAATAAATCACAGATACATCCCGACGTTCAAGCTCTCTCCCGCTAACTGCGCAAAAACTGAGGAAATGCCTGAGGTATGCTCAGAATCTTCAAGTGTTTCGGCTTCCCGGAGAGGAGGGGAAAGCCCACTCCAGCACACACATCTTTAATCATTTAAGGAAAGCAACCAAAAATGCACTTAGGCTGAATCCATTTTTGATGGGCCTCTCTAATAGATGGGCGTCCTTGAGGTTCAAAGGGAACCCTGGACGCGCCTCTTAATTAGACAAGCTGCCATCCCGTCCTGTTTCCCCTCATCCTCCTAATTAGATCTTTAACAACAAACAAATGAAGACCTTTTACAGGCGCGTGTGGCACGTCCTGCCTCGTCCCCGCCAAGAAAGGGGGGCACAGAGACGTCCTTTTTGTCTAACGCTCTCCGGCCCCGCCGCACACAACAATGGCTGGGTCCTGCCGCAATTTGCATAAATATTCTGCCTAATGTCCGTGGAGCGGGAACAGCGGGACGCAAAATATGACATTACCGCACATACAACAAACACACCTGGTTTCTTTGTTTGCATTGACAGCATTGAAAATTAGATCTGTTTTAATGCGGTGGCAGGAAAGGTCTTATCTAATAACGGCCTGCAGAAATTACGTTTATTATCCAGGTAGATCACGTCCAATGACAGTGCTATCTGAAGCAGAAACATGGAATAAAACGCAGTTAAAAAGTGCCCATTTACTGTCTATAGAGAAAGCCATCTGGTGGAATAGGGCTGCTTGATTACCTTCGCCGGCTAATTCTCTCTCTCTGAGCGCATGCAAATGATTCACTTTGACCAAGTGGAAGTGAGGAAAAAAAAAAAGTGGAGCTAAATTAAACACTGCCATTTTTAAACATCAAAAGTTGCCACAATAATGGCTCCTCCATGATGTTCCACGGTATTGTACGCTGCCAATCAGACAGAGAATAGCACTCTGAATGTTTTATGCCTCTGTGAATAACTCCGGGATGAAGCAAGGACACAGGGTGTGAGTTTTGTGTGCGTCTATGTGTGTCCTTCCATTAATAGGGACTGCGAACGCTTTCTTAAACTGCAACCCCACAGTCAAACTACACAAAAAGCTTAATATCTTCTCTTCTCCTTCCACAAAAACAAATACCGAACTGTGTTGTGTACCACGGGCCTCTCCCCTTCGCTCAAAGAGAAATCTAATTACTCTATAATGGCAGGTTTGGGGGGAGCGTGTACATCGTTGACAGGTGATAGATGCGTAAACTCACTTCCCCCGACTTGATGAATAGCGGTACAGAAACGTGAAGTTTTCGTTCATGGTGGGTGTACGACAGCACCTCGTCTATTCATCATTCCGCCTCTGTGAGCCGCACGGAGGCCCATGAACACACTCCGAGGTCGTGTCTGAACAGCTGGGAGTAGGTCATCCAGATGTGCCTTTGTCTGGGCAACATCTGCACTGAGCCCGGACCCCCAGTAAGGGGAGGGATGCGGGGCCGACATGAGAGCGAGCTCGGAATGGATGCACTCTGGAAGGTTGTCAACCACACCATTACGAGGCCCCATCTGGGTGCTTCAGAGCCGTTGCTGAGATGAAAGCACTGGTTGCTTTTTACCCCCCCCCCCCAATCCCAATGCTGCAGCTTTGTGCTATTATACATAATATCTGTCAGAGCAGCATCAAGAAACAGATACATAAATACATGAATACGTAAATAAGAGGCCCTTTTATCAGCTGTTTAATGAACAGAGAGCGGCAATTTGTCACCGCTACATACATCAACACAGTGGCGGATAGTCTTTTTTCTAGTAGCATTAAAGTCAGGACCGCATCAGTCGACAGCCAGTGCAATATTAAGACAGTGGTCAATATAATAAGTTTAATCAAATCAATTAAGAGCTATTTTAAATTAATTATACAGTCGGTTTAACAGTCAGAGAGTCACAAGTAAGGAGTAAGACCTTGACAGCAATACAATTTTCTGGTTAAACATATCTCGTATCAAACTGAGATTTTCTGTCCTGAATTACTCCTTATTTGTCAAAATGGACAGTAACTGTGAATGCTAGCCCTCAGGATGGTACTACAGTGCCTCAGGCAGTCATCTTTCCTCGTACACGAACATCTACTTGGCTAACATGTTTTTTGGGCAAATCCTCCATAGGCCTGCTTGTATTTATCTGAAAGGCTGTAGTGAAAATACAGGGCTAAAGCACTAGACAGGAATAAGATACATCTATGTTTGCAGTGCTATTCACAGAAAAACATTGTGACAGATATTATCTGTCAACATCTGATGTTGTCATATATAGTCACATCAGCATCATACTGCAGTACACCAACACAATAAAAACAATATGCAAAAAAAAACATGCATAAGTAGAAAAAAATAAAATCAAAACAAATAAAAAGCAGAGAAAAAATATAAACCACAAAACGCAACAAAATTTAAAATAAAACAGAGCAAAAACAACAAAACCTACAAAATACAAAACAAAAAAAGCTAAACGAAAAAAATCACAAACAACAGAAACGAAGTGCTAAACAGAAAGCAAAAACAAACTAAATAAAAAGCAAAAAAAGAACAAAACAACTAAACCCAAACAAAGTAAAAAGAAAACCCTCATGTTTTTGTTTGCTAATCCCGTTTTCTGTTTCATTTAGATCTTAGGAGCAATTTACTAAGCCAAATCAATCAGACCACCTT